CCACAGGGTCTCCAAGGCTGTCAATCTTCACAGAAGCAAAACCCAAACCACACCCACTGCCGTGGAGTCCATTCTGACCCACAGCACCCCTAGAGGACAGAGTGGAACTGCACCACAGGGTCTCCAAGGCTGTCAGTCTTCACAGAAGCAAAGCCCAAACCACATCCACTGCCTGGAGTCCATTCTGAGCCACAGCGCCCCTAGAGGACAGAGTGGAACTGCACCACAGGGTTTCCAAGGCTGTCAGTCTTTATGCGAGCAAAGCCCAAACCACACCCACTGCCGTGGAGTCCATTCTGACTCACAGCGCCCCTAGAGGACAGCGTGGAACTGCCTCAGAGGGTTTCCAAGGCTGTCAGTCTTCACAGAAGCAAAGCCCACAACCACACCCACTGCCATGGAGTTGATTCTGACTCACAGCGCCCCTAGAGGACAGCTTGGAACTGCCCCACAGGGTTTCCCAGGCTGTCATCTTTATGGGAGCAGATCACCAGGTCTTTCTCCCACGGAGCTGCTGGGTGGATGTGAACCACCAGCCTTTCGGTGTGCAGCCAAGCACTTACCTCTTGTCCTGCCAGGGTTCCAATAGAATGATCTCTTGTTGCATGTTGCCAAGTTGATTCTGACTCGTAGCGACCCCATGTGACAGTGTAGAACTGCCCTGTGACATGATCTGCTTGGTTCTGATCCTATTGAATCCTGAAGTTGTTCAAGACAGGGATGCTTTGAAAGTCAGATTAGTTCAGGAGTTTGGGAAGTTTTTCTGTGCACTTAAGACTAGATTATTTGCAGTACTTTAAATAGTTAGATTGTTTTTAAATAGTCTAGTGGCCATCATCCCTATACTGTGTTTCTGACCCCATGTGACAGAGTGGAACTGTCCTGTAGGGTTTCCAAGGCTGCAGATCTTTGCAGAAGCAGACAGCCTCATCTTTCTTCCGTAGAGCAAGTGGTGGGTTTAAACCACTGACATTTTGGTTAGCAGCTCCTTGCCTTAATCACTGCGCCACCAGAGCTCCCTATGAGTTGGAATCGACTCAATGGCAGTGGGTTTTAGTGAGTTATACTAGGTTTAGTTCTAAATATATGCAATACAGAGATTAAAAAAACACATTTATGGATGACATAGATCTTTAAGTTTTCAGCATTTTCAGGTGGTAGACTCGTGGGCAAGTTTAAATGAGCTATTACGTTTGTCCAGCATGTATTTTCTGCCTGTCTTCTGGGTGTCCGTGCCGGGTGCTGTGTGACATACAAAATGGGATGATATATGACCCTCGTCCTTAAGTTTGTACTCAGGCAGTCTGTCATAGCAACAGTGCAAGACACACGCCTGCCTCGTTCTATTGTGCTTTGTTTATTGCGCTCTGCAGACACATGTTTTTCACAAACGGAAGGTCTGTGACCACCCTGCGTCAAGCAAGACTGGGCGCCATTTTTCCAGCAGTATGTGCTCACTACGTGTCTCCAGGTTGGGTTTCGGTCATTCTCGCCATATTCCAAACTTCCTCCTTTAGCTGTCTTACACTTCATAGACTACAGTCTAGTGTCAGCATAACTCCTATAGGCACGGGGAACCAACAAATGCACGTGACTCGCCGGGCACACTTTGCCGCAGTGCACGCTTTTCCGCGGCAGTCTGGAATGGACCCGCAATATCTCCGAGGTGTGCCTGTGTGTGGTAAGGACAGGGTGAACGGCTCAGGCTCAACGCCATCCAGGCACATAGCGTGCTGGGCAAAAGCGAGTGCGAGGGGGAGCGTTGGGGCCAGGCCATGGCGAGGACGTCGAGGTCGGCGGGGACTCACGGCCTGTTTCTTGTGCCCGCAGGCCACGCTGCCGCTGACCCACAACGTGGATCTGCAGTGGCTGGTAGAGTGGAACGCGGTCCTGGTCAACAGCCACTACGACGTGAAGAGCCCGTCCCACGTCTGGATCTTCGCCCAGTCCGTCAAAGACCCCTGGGTGCTCTGCCTCTTCAGTTTCCTGCGGCAGGAGAACCTGCCCAAACACTGCCCCACAGCGCTCAGCTACGCCTGGCCCTACGCCTTCACACGGCTCCAGTCGGTGATACCACTGGTGGACCCCAAGTAAGGACCCGCCTTCTCCCCTCCCTTCTCGTTCTCCCGTTTGCCCTCTTGAAGTTTCATTGTGCACAAGAGTTGGAATCCTCCCTAGTTTCCACCAGGAGCTCTGGTAGCATAGTGCCTAAGGCACTTGACTGCTAACCAGAAGGCTGGCAGTTCAAACCCACCAGACACTCCTCGGAAGGAAGATGGGGCAATCTATTTCCATAGTGATACCGCCTCGGAAACCCAAGGTGAGTCGGGGCAGACTCGACGGCATGTAACAACAACAACAACTTTCCACCCAGAGGCACCTCAGAGTAAGGTCTCACAAGCTATTGGAAAACCAGCCACTGAAACCCCTATGGGGTGCAGTTGTACTTGGAGACACAGGGGGCACTGTGAGTCGGTCTTGACTGGAGGGCGACTAATCCTGGTAGTTTATGGACTTGTAATGCAGCCTTCCCAACGCTGAGTGGAAGCAGATCAAACATCTGGAGCTGATTACCTGTTTCCTTCATAATCAGTGTGATGTCTGACTGTACAATCTCAGACCCTCAGTGACGAAAGACACTAGAAAGCCCTACTCAACTGCCCGTGCAGGGCAGAAATTGCCCATTCAACAACCTTGAACTGCATCTGCACATTCAGATGATCTCTATTTAATAGGTGATATTTAAAATCAAAGGCGCTGGTGGTGTGATGGCTAAAGCATTCGGCTGCTAACCAGAAGGTCAGTGGTTGGAATGCACCAGCAGCTCCCTGGGAGAAAGATGAGGCAGTCACCTGCTGCACAGACTGACAACCTAGGAGACCCTGTGGTGCAGTTCCACTCTCTCCTCTAGGGGCGCTGTGGGTCAGAATGGACTCCACGGCAGTGGGTGTGGTTTGGGCTTTGCTTCTGTGAAGACTGAAA